GCTCTTCAGGTTACCCGGTCGCGGAACTCTGTTTTGCTATATTTTTGTTACATATCTTTAGCCTTAGGAATATTTGCCTATTATTGTTATTGTATCTATCATGCTATTCTTATCCCTTTTGGCTATTCCGTTATTTTTATTCAATTTATTGCTCACGGATTTAGACGTTTCAATATAAATTATCATCCAGGTCGCTTATGAATTCATAAATCATGGTTATTGCAGGGGACGGGATGAAGGTCAGCAAGATGAAGAACAACACCACATCAACTATAGCCCCATGCGGCAACCCGAAGTGTAATAAGCCTGTCGTCTGCAATGGTATTCAATTTGAGGCCTGGAAGTCCTGGTACCACAAGATGTACAGATGTACAGTCGATAGCAAAGAATACGAGCAATAAGTTAAGCACGAATTTCTGCAGTGGTACTGTTTGGGCCGTAGGCAGCTACTAACGGAACTAGCGCGAGATAGAAAGGCGGCAAACTTTACTGAGGTTAGTACCCATACCGAAATGGTCGAGGGTGGTAAGAAGTTCATTAGCAAAGGGAAAAATACTAGCGTGGGGATAAATCGTTTGATCATCACTCCAAGTGCCGAACCAAGAGAAGCTAAGGTCAAGCCTGCACACCGAAACGGTCCGCAAAAGGCAACGGTGCAACCTCCCTCAGAGTGGAAAACCGTGCATCACAAGGGCACTGCTTCACCCAGGCTCATACAGACTGACCCTAGCGCCCGATTGGTCATAGTAGTTTACCCACCGGAATCCAACTCATCATCGCTGGCCGATAGCACAATTTTCCATCAACTGTGTGTCGACATGTCGCTCCCTGAGCTGAAACCACTAAGCCTCAGGCGACTACCGAGGAACCAGAACTGCCTATACGCAGAGCACCCCAGGCTTCTTAAGGTGACTCTTGGCTCAGAGGGTGACACAAGCAGACCTCTTACATCGTCGAAAACTTTGGGCGTATCCTCTGAAGTTCTCATAAGACTCGACCTACCCAGGTCCGTC